TACTACTACTACTACTACTACTACCACTACGACGGCTACTACGACGACGGATGCAATTAAAACTACGAATGCTACTACTGCTGCAACTACTACTACTACTACCACTCCGACTACTACTACTACCACCGTCACAATTACTACTACTACTACTACTACTACAACTACTACTACGAGTACTACGAGTACTACTATTACTGCTACGTCTACTACTACTGCTACTGCTACTGCTACTGCTACTACCTACTACTAATAGTTCTAGCACGGCTACTACTACTACGACTACTTCCATTTTGACGACTACTACTACTACTACTACTACTACTACTACTACTACTTCTGCTACTACTACTACCACTACTACGACTACTACTACTACTACTACTACTACTACTACGACTACTACAACTACTACCATGCATGATAATTCGACTTCTACTCATACTACCACTGCTACCGCTGCTACTACAACTGCTACTAGCACTACCAACTACTACGTACCAACGGTTAACTACGATGAGCAGCGACTGGCAATAAGCAGCCAATTGTTCGCTACTGCCTACGAACGACTAGCTGCCAGCAACTAGATTCTAACTGGTTACCACTACCGGACATGACTACGACTCCCACTATGAGATGACTACTACTCCTGCTGCTACTACAACTACTACTACTACTACTGCTACTACTGCTACTGCAACTACTATGCTGCGACTGCTACGACTACATCTTCCACTGCTACGAAGACCACTACTACTACTACTGCTGCTGCTACTACAACTACTACTACTACTACTACTACTACTACTACTACTACTACTACTACGACTACTACTACTACTACTACTACTACTACTACTACTACTATTCCTGCGACTACTACTATTACTACTACTACTACTACTACTACTACTACTACTACCATACCTACTACTAGTATTATTCATAAGGCCACTACTACTACGATTACTACTACTACTACTACTACTACTACTACTACTACTGCTGCTGCTACTACTACTACTACTACTACGACTACGACTACGACTACGACTACTACTACTACTACTACTACTACGACTACTACTACTACTACAACTGCGACTGCTATTACTACTGGTACTGCTACTGCCACTACCACTATAAGCACTACTACTACTACTACTACTACTACTACTACTACTACTACTACTACTACTACTACTACTACTACTACTACTACTACTACTACGACGACTAACTACTACTACTACTAACACTTGACTACTACTACTCTACAACAAAAATACTCTACTACTATACTACACTATACTATAATAGAACTACTACTACTACTTAACTAATTACTACTATAGAACACATCGTACCATCACTACTACTACTACGATCCCCATATGCGTGATTACTCACTACTCCGAACTCTACTACTACTACTACAATTATACTTACTACACTACCACTACTACTACACTTCACTACCAACGTACCACCTACTACAACGACACTACGACTACTACAATACGACACTACTATTAGTTATACTACGACGTGTACGTCTACTAATACTACCACTATAACACCATAATAGTCCTTATACATAGAATTACTACTACTACTATCGACTATTAAAATACTACTAGTACTATACTCAACTTACTGCGTACTATACTACGACGACTAACTGTACTACTACGTACTACATACACTAATAATACTAATTACTATTACTACACAGCGGCACACACCGCTTAGCAACCAAAGTACGAATCGACACGACTACTCATCGGTCATTATAATGCTTTCTACTACTACTAGACTACTCCTGTCTAACTACTACACTAAACGACCTACTATAAACGACTACGCGACTACTACTACTACTACGCCTTACCGACGTACTACTACTACGCATCTACTACTACTACTGCTATACTTTATACTAGTACTACTACGACTACTACTACATATACTGTACGACCTCGACAACTGCTACTACTACTACTACTACTACTACTACTACTACTACAGCTACTACCACCACGAGTAATACTACTACGATTACTGCTACTATCAAGTATTAACTAGTAAGTACCAACTACTTTTACTACTACTACTACTACTACTGCTACAACTACTACTGTTACTACTACTACTACTACTACTACTACTGCTACTACTACTAGTAATACTATTACTACTACTGCTACTCTTACTACTACTACTACTACTACTACTACTACTACTACTACTACCACTACTAAGTACTGACAACAAACCACTAGCTACTAAGTACGACCTACAACCTACTAACTACGAGCTACGTATTACGTACTACATACGACTAGCTACTAACAACAGACTGTTGATTATGTTCGAACCACTATTCATCACTAAATACAAACAACTCCGTTCTATCGACTAACTCCTAACTACGAGCTGCTACCGACTTGGTCGCCACATGTAGTTTAGTGATATTACCAAGAAGAGCTACTTCTCTGGGCAAAAGAAGCCAGACTGATGGGAAATCTCTGTGGCGCCTTTAGGGCAGCCCACTGCAATTTGCGAGAGTCAATTTGACAGAAGTGTGAGGACCCTCGATGAGGTCTCGCCCGGAGAACTGACCCTTTCCGAAGGATCCCCAGGAATCTATAAGGATTCGGTAGTTCACCCGGAGAAGTAACCCTTTTCCCGGAGAAACCCCTCGACCCCCAGGAGGCCCCAAAAGGCGAAAACGAGTGAACGGCAGCGGTATCCGTACGTGTCCCTCTGCATACGCAAGGAAAACGTTCCGAGCTCCGACCAGATTTCTTGGATCGGCGCTGAGACCCTCTCCCTGGAGCGCGGAGCGCGCCAGGGGGGTCTGACGCCGATCCCAGAAACCCGCACGGAGTGGAGTTCAGGACACCTATGATCATTACATCCCCAGGACGAAAGTGCTTCCCACTTGGGCCCAGAACGACGGTTTAAAGTCTTGAGCAGACGCGTACGAGATAACCGCCGTCGGATGCAATGAAGTTCGCGCGGGTCCGATGTTGGTTTGGGCTTCTGTTTCGGTGGATCCGATTTCTACCACGTGTAAAGTTGATAATACCTATACGACCACCCTTCGGGTGATAAGGAGGTTGTGGGGATGGGGAGAGGGGGGGAACCACCATCTGACTCAATCGATCTCACTATCAATCTCACTCCACGGGACACAACGGGACACCACGGGACACCACGGAACACTTGTCGATCTCACTATCGATCTCACTATTGATCTCACTCAACGGGACACCACGGGACACCACGGGACACCACGGGACACCACGGGACTACGCGGGACACCTCTCGATCTCACTATCGGTCTCACTATCGATCTCACCATCGATCTCACTCAACGGGACACCACGGGACACCACGGGCCACCACGGGACACCACGGGACTACGTGGGACATCTCTCGATCTCACGATCGGTCTCACTATCGATCGCACTATCGATCTCACTCAGCGGGACACCATAGGACACCACGGGACACCTCGGGACACCACATCGATCTCACTATCGATCTCACTATCGATCTCACTCAACGGGACACCACGGGCCACCACGGGACACCTGTCGATCTCACTATCGATCTCACTATCGATCTCACTCAACGGGACACCACGGGACACCAAGGGACACCTCGGGGGGCACCACATCGATCTCAGTATCGATCTCACTATCGATCTCACGATTGATCTCACTCAACGGGACACCACGGGAAAACCACGGGACACCGGCGGGACACCGCGCGCCACCAGCCGCCGGATGAGAAACAGTTAGTCCGGCCGCGGCCCAGCCACAGGAGGATTTCGGGACACCAGCGGGACACCGGCGGGACACTGAGCGGCACCGGCCGCCAGAGGAGCAACATTTGGTCCGGCCGCGGCCCAGCCACAGGAGGATTTCGGGACACCAGAGGGACACTGGCGGGACACCGCGCGGCACCGGCCGCCGGAGGAGCAACATTTGGTCCTGCCGCGGCCCAGCCACAGGAGGATTTCCTCTCGCCCGCCCACGCAGCTTCGCCTCGCCCGCACGCACGCACGGCACGCACGACACGAACCCGAAACCGAAATCGATTTCCTGGTAAGGGGGGGTCTCCGTTTCACGTCGGTCTCACCCGCCAACCTCCGATTAAATTAAAACTGAGAACCGGGAGAAATCGGATCCGCGGACCCCGGAATCCGCCCGCGTTAAGACTTCACGGGGGAGGGGGTTCTGTCATCAACTTCCCAGGATGGGTCCTGCGCTGTCTCGCGCACTCCCACAAGCTTTCCGCGCGTTCCGCGCGAGCGGGCCCCACTCAACATGAATGCATCTCTCTCCTCGTGGTTGCTGCCTGCGCGCAGCTCGTCCAGACGCCGTCTGTCTGGCGGCGCCGATATTATCTTATGAACTCCTCATCGCCTTTTTCACATCAAGAAGAAAATCTTTCGTCCTGCGTAATTATGCTGGTTTTCCTTCCTCCGAATATCCACCATGCGCCAGGGGGGTCTGGCGCCGATCCAAGAAATCCGCGCGGAGCTCCGAAAACGCATGACCATTATGTTTGTCAGAGTGAGGGGGCTGAACCGAACAGTCATTCACTGTCCCTGGGTGCGTGGCTGAAGTGGAATTCCGCGATGCGGATTCTTGTTGTTTGTTGTTTGTTGCTTGTTGTTTGTTGTATGTTGTTTGTTGCTTGTTGTTTGTTGTATGCTGTTTGTTGTTTGTTGTTTGTTGTTGTCGTCGTCCCACCCGCGACCCGCCCCGAGACCCACCCCGCGACCCACCCGCGACCCACCCGCGACCCACCCCGCGACCCACCCGCGACCCACCCCGCGACCCACCCGCGACCCACCCGCGACCCAGCCGCGACCCACCCCGCGACCCGCCCGCGACCCAACCCGAGACCCCCCCGGCGACCCACCCGCGACCCACCGGCAACCCACCCACGACCCACCCCGCGACCCACCCCGCGACCCAACCGCGACCCACCGCGACCCACCCGCGTCCGACCCGCGACCCACCCCGCGACCCACCCAAAATTTTCGGCGCCTGCGGCGGGCTTCTTTTGCATTCGTTCCAGGTGGAGAACCTGCGACCCACCCGCGACCCAAACCGCGCCGGCGACCAACCCGCGACCCACCGCGACCCACCCGCGACCCACCCGCGACCCACCCCGCGACCCACCCAAAATTTTCGGCGCCTGCGGCGGACTTCCTTTGCATCCGTTCCAGGTGGAGAACCTGCGACCCACCCGCGACCCAAACCGCGTTCAGTGTACAAATCAAATTTTTTGGCGCCTGCGGCGGGCTGCTTTTGAATTCCTTCCAGGTGGAGGTGGAGAACCCGCGTCCGACCCGCGACCCAAACTACGTTCACTGAACACATCAAAACTTCGGCGCCTGCGGCGGGTTTCTTTTCCATTCGTTCCAGGTGGAGAACCTGCGACCCAAACCGCGTTCAGTGTACATATCTAAATGTTCGGCGCCTGCGGCGGGCTGTTCTTTGCATTTCGTTATCCAGGTGGGAACCTGCGACCCACACCGCTACCACCAAACACCGCGCCCCGCCGTACAACCCCCGACAACCGCGACCAACCGCACCACCCACCCGCGACCCACACCCGAGAAACCACCCGCGACCCACCAAAATTGCCGCGCCGCGGCGGACTCTTTGCAATGGACTGCATTCGTTCCAGGGGAGAACCTGCGACCGCTGCGACCCCCCGCAGACCCAAACCGCGTTCAGTGAACAACAATCAAATCATTTGGCGCCTGCGCGGGCTGCTTTTGAATTCCTTACAAGGTGGAGGGGATAACCCGCGTCCGACCCGAGACCCAAACTACGTAACTGAACACATTCAAAACTTCGGCCGCCGGCGGCGGGTTCTTGCCATTGTTCCAGTGGAGAACCTGCGACCCAAACGCGGTCAGTGTACATATCTAAATTTTCGGCGCCGGGCGGGCTGTTCTTGAATTCCTTCCAGGTGGAGGTGGAGGAGGAGAAGGAGGAGGAGAAGGGGAGGAGGAGGAGGAGGAGGAGGAGGAGGAGGAAAAGGAGGAAGAGGAGGAGGAGGTGGAGGAGGCGGAGGCGGACGACGACGACGACGACGATGAGGACGAGGACACGGACGAGGAAGAGGAGGAGGAGCAGCAGGAGGAGGAGGAGGAGGAGCGCACCGTGCCTCAGGAGGAGGAGGAGGAGGAGGAGGAGGAGGGCGCCATCGACAGGGAAGGTGAGGGCCACGAGGTCCGCCGGCTCGACGCCCGCGTCGCCCGCGCCCGCCTCCACACTCTTATCCGCAATTGCGGGGTGCTACGTTATTTTCTCCGAGTGCCCAGCGACCCGACCCGCGATCCACCCGCGACCCACCCCGCGACCCACCCGCGACCTACCCTGCGACCCATCCCGCGACCCAACCCCGCTCACGCCCCCTCGCTCCCCTGAGATCCGACGTTGCGGAAAAAAAACAGCATCGCGGAAAATCACGACTGGAGCCCTACACCCCATCTTTCTGCGCCATTTGTTCAGACGGATCAATATGAATAGGTCCTGGGGTCCGAAACTGAGCGAAACCGCCCGGCCCGAAAAGATTGCAAAGCCCAGATCTCAGGGTCCTTGAAGCCCCGACACTTTCCCCGTGGCCAGTGTTTCATCCTGATTCGTTTTTTGGCGGTCCCACGGTCCGGTAAGGGCGCCAGAGGCCCAAAACAGGCAAAAACCTCCCGTCCTGATTTATTCAAGACGCAAGCATGACTGGGACATTATGTGTTTTTGTGCTGTTTGCTCCTCTGAGTGCCCGCCATGCGCACGAGCTGGAAGGGTCCCAGGGCCCACAAGACGCCAGGCTGAAAAAAATGCAACGCCCGGATCTCCAGGATCTTCTCCGCAATTGCGTACGTTTTGCGGCATTTCGACATTGGGCGGAAGGGGGGCGGGAGGAGGGGTGGGGGTCTGGTCAGGCTCGGGGCCTCTGCTTAACGCGACTGTTTGCAACAGTGCGTCCCATGGGGGAGACTCCACCTGCTCGAGACAGGCGCCAAAAACAGCCAGGATCTACTCCATGGGGGGGGGAGGGGGGTACGAGAGCCCGCGCCGATCGGCAAACCAGTAATTTGTTCATGACGCGAGCCCCACAGGTGCGGACCATTCCCCGGGGACCGGCTTCTCATCCTAAGCCGTGTTTGGCCGGCCCCGAGGCCCAGTGAGGGCGCCCCCCGGGAGCCGAAGAGCGCGCGAAAGACCTCCCGTCGCGATGTTTGCTCGCAACGCGAGGGGGTCTGGGGTGATGGGCCTGTTTTCCACCACCACCACCACCACCATAAGTTGGAGAGGGGGAGGAAGTGGAGGACGAGGAGGAGGACGAAAAGGAGGAGCAGGAGCAGGAGCAGCAGGAGGAGGAGAAAGAGGAGGGCGCCAGGAAACCCAAACCCAGGAGCAGGAGGAGGAGGAGGCGGAGGAGAAAAAGGAGGAGCAGGAGAAAAAGGAGGAGCAGGAGGAGGAGGAGATGGAGGAGGAGGGGCGCTGCACTGTGCTCTGCTTTTGCTGCTCCTCCGAGGGCCCGCCATGCGCTCGAGGAGGCCCGGAGCCCCCACGAGGGCGCGGGCCAGCGGCAGGCGGCCCTCGGGCGGGCCGTGGGCGAGGCCCGCGGCGAGCACGGCGGCGCCGCACGGCGAGGCGCCCAGCTCGGCGACGTCCCCGCACAGGCCCTCGTCAGGATCATCGTCAGCATCGTCATCCTCACCCTCCTCCTCCACCTCCTCCCTCTCCTCCTCCTCCTCCTCCTCCTCTCCTCCCCCCCTCCTCCTCCTCCCCATCTTCTAATCCTCCTCCTCCTCTCTCCTGCCTCCTCCTCCTGCTCTCCTACTACTTCATCCACTCACTCTCTCTCTCTCCTCCTTTCCTTCCTCCTCTCTCTCCTCCCCTCCTCTTCTGCTCTTCCTCCTCTCTCCTCCCTCTCCTCCTCCTCTCCTCCTACTTCTCATCATCATCCTCATCGTCATCGCAGCAGCATATCTTCAGCAGCATCAGCATCGCCCATCAGCATTAAGCATCATCATCATCATCTCATCATCAATATCATCATCACTCAATCATCATCATCATCATCATTCATCATCAGCTCATCATCATCATCATCATCTTCGTCTGCATCATCATCATCATCATCATCATCATCATCATCATCATCATCATCATCATCATCGTCCTCATCCTCATCCTCATCATCATCATCAGCAGCAGCAGCATCATCATCATCAGCAGCAGCATCAGCAGCAGCATCATCATCCTCATTATCATCCTCATCCTCATCCTCATCACCATCACCACCACCATCATCATCATCATCATCACCAACAACAACAACAACAACAACAACATCATCATCATCATCATCATCATCATCATCATCATCATCATCATCAGCATCAGCATCATCATAGTCATCGTCATCAGTAGCATCGTCATCATCAGCATCATCATCGTCGTCGTCATAATCATCATCGTCATCATCAGCATACTCAGCATCGTGGTTATCGTCATCAGCATCAGCATCATCGCCAGCAGCATCCACATCAACAGCAGCATCAGCATCGCCATCATAATCGTCGTTGTCGTGGTCGTCGTCGTCACAATCAGCATCATCATCATCATCAGCAGCAGCATCATCATCATGGTCGTCGTCGTCATCATCATCACCACCACCACCACCACTACCATCTTCATCATCATCATCAGCATCATCATCATCCTCATCATCATCCTCATCATCCTCATTATCATCAGCATCATCATCAGCATCATCATCGTCGTCGTCATCGTCATCGCCATCGTCATCGTCATCGTCATCAGCCCATCATCGTCATCAGCTCAGAGTCGTCCCCACACAGGCCCTGCTCGATGATTCCCAGAGCGAGTGCTGGCGTCGGCAAGTCCAGCAGCTTGGACAGACAAAGAATCGGCAATTCCCAGGAAAATAGGGGAAGTTAACGGGAAAACGTGATCCAGAAAACATGGGAAATATTGGGAATCCTTGGATTTGTGTCAATTCGTTTGTCGCCCGCGGGTGCGCCCTGGCCCCAGCCCCGAGCTGTCCTCGCTGCCCTGGCTGGCCGCTCCGGCCCGCTCACCGTGGAACTCTTCCACCGCCGATCGGGGGCCATCTATATTTGATCAGTTTCTGCTTGCTTGCCCCCCCCCCTCTCCCCGCTCCTTCTCGGCCCCCCCATGTTCCCCCCCCCGCCCCTCTCCGCGCGCCAGTTTGGCAAAATACTTTGCCCCGTCGTCGTTCATGGACTCCTCGTCGCTCGGATCTGTGGCGCAGCGAGCCCCGCCCCGTCGTTCAGAGCTTTCTCAGCAGACTTTCTGTGCGCTCGGTCTGAGCGCCTCCCCTCGCCGAGCGCGTTCCACTATTCGCAAAGTGCCTACTCGCAAATGCCCGAAAAAAACACATGCCTGCTTCGATGTATTTTTTCGTAGATCCCCCGCGGCGGATCCAGGCCATTTGCGAGTAATCACTTTGCGAGTCGTGGAACGCGCTCGTCTATCCCCACTTCTCCCCCCCGCGCGGCCGCTCCCGCTTCTCCTCCTCGCTCTCCTGCGCGCCCGACAATCTGCCTACCAGTGCCCCCGAGCAGCCCCACGCTGTTGCGGATCGCCTTTGCCCCGCCGCCGACGAACGACAGGTCTATTCATTTGTGTGTGCCCCTGGGCCCCTTCGGCCAGCGCGGCACCTGACCGGCGTCCAGGACCGTCCCGAGAAGTGCACCTCGGTCCCTCGTAAGTCCGGGCGCTGCGGCGAGGAGGGTCAGCTCCAGGGCACCCCGGACCACGAGCCCAGAGCCGCAGGGCGGTAGCCTGAGGTCCAGCGTTGCAGAGCATGGCGCTGCATCGCCAGAAATCGCGGCCAGAGCCCCAGGCCGTGAAGGCACGACTTAGGACGAAGCGCCGGCCCCAGGGAAAGGGTCGGGACTTGGGCTTCGCGCCGTGGGGGGGCGGCACATGCGGGGCGTGGGCAGCGAGGGCTCCAGAGAAGGGGCCCGTCAGGGCCCCGGGAGGGGCCCTGTAGGGCCCCAGGGAGGGCCTTCAGGGCCCCAGGGAGGGCCTTCAGGGCCCGAGAAGCGCACCTTCCCTGAGATCCGACGTTGCGAAAAAGGGCAATCTCGCCAACAATCACGACCAGAGCCCTGGGCCCCATCTCTCGGCGCCACGATTCCAGCCCGCCCGATCTGTGAGGGCCCTGGGGCCCGAGAAACCGGGCGAAAGGCACCCTTTGAGACAAAAAGCTGCAGCGCCAGGATCTGAAACAGTCTGTCCAAGCTGCTGGACTCGCCGACGCCATTTGTTTAATGATGCGACCCCCCCCTGCGCGTGACCAGACATTAGACTGGGCCACCAGCCTGCAGGGCGCGCCGCTGGTGCGCGGGGGAGCCGTGTTCGAGGAGGCTCTGCACGGCGTAGTTCCCGTAGGGGTGGACGCTCATGCCCCGCACGTCCTCGGAGGACCCCACAGAATCTGGGGCAGCGAAATTTATACACATCCGCTGCTCCCTGGCCAGGCCCATCCTGAACCCAGCAGCTGTGTATACGCCGCGCCCTCCTGGCTTGGCCAGGAGGGCCTATACGCAGCTTATGGGTACAGGATGGGCCTGGCCAGGGGAGCAGTGGATTTCGCCGCCCGAACATGAATGAAACAGGCCTTGCGCGAAATGGCATGGCGGCCTTCCGCGGTGGCTTACACGGGTAAGCCGGCGTGGCACGCCACGTTTGAGACGAGGGCGCCTACGCGCGACCTTCCGAGGGCAGCTTGCGCGCGCGAATGTCGGCACAAGCGACCCCGTTTTTATCACGTCGCCCCAACGGGGTCCGACCAGGTGGGGTCGGAGGATCGCGCCGCATCGCCGATGCATCGGCGAAGCACCGGCGCCGTTGGCGTGGAAAAGCTCGGCCCGCAAAGCGAGCAGCAGCCCCAGACCCCCGACAGCATGATTTCTTCATGACGCGACCCCCAGCGGGTCTGGACCCATTCCCCGGGACCGGTTTTACATCCCGAGTCGTTTTCTGACGATCCCGATGCCAGGTAATCGGCGGTGGACAAACCTCTCTTTAGCAAACCTCCCGTTAGTGAAAACGGCCTGGAACAGAAACTGGCGGACCTGGACCCGCAAAAATGGCGGCCGCGACGCCCTCTCGCGAACCGAAAACGGCCAATTCCTTAATCGACGTGTCAGGGTAGGAGGTCTGTCCACCTCCGAGAAAAGGGCCCCCAGGGAGCCGAAGATAGCGAAAGACCTCCAAGCGTAATTTTCTCACAGCGCGAGGGGGTCTGGGTCGTGGCGTCGGCGAGGCGCCGCGATCCTCCGGCCCAGGCCGCTCTGGCCCCACTTTGGGAGGCGCGAAGCGTCCTCGAGCAGTGCCTCGCGCAGGCCCTCGACCTCCAGAGGAGGGCCAGCTGAGCAAACGGCGGGTCCTCCTCCTCCTCCTCCTCCTCCTCCTCCTCTTCCTCCTTCTCCTCCTCCTCCTCCTCCTCCTCGTCCTCCTCCTCCTCCTCCTCCTCCTCCTCCTCCTGCTCGTCCTCATCCTCCTCCTCTCCTCCTCCTCCTCTCCTCCACCTCCGTTTCTCCTTCCTCCTCCTCCCTCCTCCTCTCCTCCTCCCTCCTCCTCCTCCTCCTCCCGCCTCCGCTGCGAGGAGGAACCCCTCTGGGTTTCCTGCCCGCTTCTCCCTATCGCGAGCCGCCCACTCCGCGGAAGCTGGGCTGCACACCGCTGGCGGTGTCTGCAGTCTAGGGACTGGCTCGTGGTGCCTGGCTTCCGCTGGCGCCTGAGCGGCTCCGGCTGCCTGGCTGCCGCGGCGCTGGGTGCTTTGCGGGAAGGAAACCCGCTTGGTGTCCGTCCTGCATTGGCCCTTGCCGCCCTCCTGTGGCCCCCTTGCCGCACGCTTCCCACGCCGCGCCACTCGCGGCGGGGAAACCGCTGCCGCTGGCCTCTGGCCGCGGCAACCTCCATGACTGGCCGCTGCCTGCCTTTCCGCTTATGTCCGCGTGCGCTGGCTGCGCTCTTTCCCGCGTCGCGCCTGTCCTCTCAGACGCGGCCCGCGGAGCTCTGCGCGCTCCTCCTCCTCCTCCTCCTCCTCCTCCTCCTCCTCCTCCTCCTCCTCCTCCTCCTCCTCCTCCTCCTGCTCCATTCCTTCTCCTGATGAATAACTCATCCCTGTCGCACCCCGAGGCCAGTCGGAAGGGCGGGCTGGGCGTTTCGCCTGAAACTTCCTCACCATGTATGAGCCTGAAGCTAAACAATGGTAACAGCTTCACCGACTGAGAACGGGTGGTTATCAAAATGTGGTTCCTGCCAGAGCGCCGAGCACATTCGTTTTACAAATCGCGAGACGTTCAAATATTGAGGGCGGGTGGTTTTCAAAAAAGGGCTCTCGCCTTAGCGCCGCGCACATTCGTTTTAAACATTCGCGCGATCTTCACGGATTGAGGGCGGGTGGTTTTCAAAAT